GGTTGACAGTGTTGCATTACCACTAGTTGGAGGATTTACTGGTTCTTGGTTTAATAAATGAAGGCCAGGAATTCTGTAACCGCGGTGTCTGCGCTGTGTGGGAGGAAACTGAGGGGATGGATACGAGGTTTCCACAAAGCCCTTTGAATGTGTTTGCATTTCCACATCTGCTTGGACAATGCACTGAAACTTACTGTATTTAGTAGTTTAACCTACTACTGAGAAATGTTTAATGCTTAAATGTCTAATTAAAAAGCATCTTTAGAGTGTTGTTGAATGGGAAAGCGTTTTTTCTGCTCTATCATTTCTTTATATTGTACATGGATTAAATTATCTATTTCCTTCAGGTTATCACTGTGTAATAAAAGATCTATAAATATGTTATTACTTCTGAAATGATAGACTATACTGTAATACACTTTATAGAGTTTTATTTCAATTCTAAATAATACTTGTTGAATTTTTTATGCTCTTTCTTTTGTTGCCACATACTTTTGTTTGCTGTTAATACAAGGTGGGGGTGAACTCTCAGCTTCAGCACTTTCTTCGGGTCTGCTTCTTCATCAGTTGCTTCAACTCTTGTCCTAACAGTGTCTGAGTAATGACAAACACGATGGAGATCCTGGCACTCCCTGTGCAGTGTGGTGCCCTTGGCCCTTTGTTACAGCTGCTCAACTTTTTTTTTTTTACTTCCTTAAAAAGCTGCATCAGTAATGGTTTTTTAAAAGTGAAGATATGTGGTTTCTGAAATTTAGAAATACTTCTCTTCTGATGGCACTTTTCTCTCATTATTACCAGCAATCCTCTCTCTGTTTAGTTTGCCATGTGGGGATTTACACAGCCCTTCTCTTTCTCTTTATTGGAATCCCCAGCTGTGGATTTCTTCCTTTTTGTTTCAAATTCACCTTGTTAGGTCTATGTAGCTTTAATTAGAGTCCTTTAATTTGAGTAGCTGTTCACAGTCTTGCTGCTTTGGTTTTACTTCCTGCAGAGAAAGAGGTAACATTTTTCTTCTTCAGCCTTTGAAGTCTGAAACCTTTTTATAAAGTGGCCCGATAGGAATTGACCCCCCTCCCCTTTTTGCTTGCACAAGGGGAGGGGGGGTCACCCTCTTTGCTTTACCCTCTTACTTATTTGCAAACAATTATTGTTGAACTGTTAACGGGGCTGTGTGTCAGACTGGAAATGCCAGCTGTGAATCGCCCATTGCCTCGGGAGCAGCAGCATCAGTTAGTTTATAACCTTTGGTACCTGTGCAAACACACCCAGATGTGCCTCCCGCCCTGGGGACTGACCTGGGGATGGGGTTTGATGTCAGGTGTTGAGTGGAGATACTGAACTGGCTCCGTGGGGCCAGGGCACTTCTAAGACAAATATCCTAGAAAGAGATTAAATACAATGCTTTAAAAGTCTGCACCCCAATAAAAGGCACCTCTGTCTCTACACCTTTCTCCTCTTAATATGAAAGAGGTGGGATGCTGGTACCACAGAATCATGGCCCTTGGTGTTCCCGCATGTAGGAAGCGAGAGCACCTTTGGCAGAGATTGGAGCCTGAGGAACCACGTACCCAGTGATCCTGTGGTCCCAGAGTGGTTCCACGGAGGAGAGCGGGATTCCCAGTGTGGACTGGGCTGTGTCTGCTTTGGGAAAAACTAAAGTCAGTTGAATGTGGTATTTTGGGAGGTGGCTGTGTGTTCAGCACGTGGTGTGGTGGAAGGGGCTTGCCAGTTTGTTACTGCAGATCCCAGTGAAGCCGTGTGTTCTCCTGAGGTGGTTTGGTGTGTGGTGAGATGGGGTGGGTGTTTCAGTGTCCTGCCACGCCGGGTGGCTCTGCTGCAGAAGATACATCCAGGTACAGGAGCTCCTGGAGCCACGTTCCCAGCGCTGGCACTGCTGCTGCCAAAACAGAACAAACTATTCCTGTGAGAGCACAGAGCTGCCCCCGGGACTGTACTCGCGTGGAGAAGACGCTGTTGGTCGGAAATCGGTGTCTTCCCCTTCCTGGAGGACATTGCACAAGCCCACGGTGTTGGCACAGCAGCCCACAGCCCACCCTGCGTCCTGGGGTGTGGAGGACGTGCTGGGTAAGTCACCCTGCCCCTGCCTTCGGGGTGGGGGGCTCGCTGTCCTCAAACAGAACTGGGGTGAAGGAAAAGCAAAGGTTTCCTCCTCGGTGTGAGCTCTGCGCTCAGGAGAGCCAGCGGCTGTTTTTTCCTAGATCTTCATGGGAATGGAAGAAACAAAGGTGGGATTGAGGGGAGGACAGGGCTTTTGGGGCAGCAACTGGCCTCCATGGAGCTTTAATGTCGTGTTGGGAGGCCTCTCCCCTGGGACTGCAGTGTCTGGGAACCCGCTCCAGCCCGGCTCTGCCTGCACTGGTACCAGTGGGGAGGGCAGATGTGGGATCTCTCTGAGGTGGGGTTAGAAAGAGCTGGTCCTGGTGAGCCCAGCTCCTGAGCACAGCCAGCTGCCCACATCCCCCTCTCCAGCTGTTGGCACAAAGTATTCTTGCCAAAATATCATCTGAAATAACTTCTGATTCTTCTGGTGGGGTTGGAGAAGGAGAGATGAGGTCTAATGGCTTCTGGATTTTTCCATATTAGTGATATCAAACCTGTTTTTAAAGGAGCTGTTGTATAGATAAAGTTTTATATCATTCCACATGGCCTTATAGAACATGTGACTGTGGGTCACACAATAAATATATTGTGCTACTGAAAATAGTTTGTACTACATGTTTTCCTAAGCAATAAAGATATTCTGGCTGCTCTGTCTTGTACTGTACAATTACCATTCACATTTTGCTTTACCAGATATTAAGGAAAAAAAAAAATCAAACTATTTTCTGGCATTATAAGCATTTCTCAAAGGAATTTCAGAGGCTGACAGTGAAAGGAAATTGAGTTCTGTTAGGAAGACAAATCAATGAGATCTAGTGCCCTTTGGTCATGTTTTGGCAATTGCCTTATCACTGTGCAAGC